GAATTAAACTAAAGGGTTGAAACTTCGGCGGGTCATCGTTTGATGTGTTCCATAAGTAGGTTGTTCTCCGGAAATTTCGCACGGGGCCCCAACGTGAGTTAGGATTGAAAAAATATTGTATTTATTTTTAAAAACTTACTTGAATCCCTTGATCATCCATTATTTCTTCTCTCGAAGTTCTGTAAACCTTTTAAATGGCTCGGACTGATTATACTTGACGTCACGAGAACAACCTACTTATGGAACACATCGTGCGAAAAAACGCTTCGAGTGTTTCATGTAAAAACATACGAAAAATCAATCGTTTATCGAATCTACTACATCAGTTGTGAAGATATATCCAAAAAGACATAGAATCTGCAAAAAAATATTCGAAAACACCGATAAATTGTGAATTTTAAGGCATTTAGAAATGTCATCTAGTCGAAGTTTCAACCCTTTAGTTTAATTCTTCCTTCTTTTGCCGCCTTCGTATTTTCGCGCCCGCGTTCTTACTTGTCAGCGATCATCTATACTTCATGTAGAGTGATAGTATAATGGATTCAAGCAGTTTAAAATGTTTACAGAATTTCGAGAGAAGAAATAATCGATTATCAAGGGATTCAAGTAGGTTTTTAAAAATAAATACAATATTATTTCAATCATAACTCATAGTGGGGCCCCCTGTGGTAGGAATATAGGTGAAATTTTCATTAGATCTAAGGTGGTGATCAGATCTCTGATAGACATATGGAGGTAAAAGATCACGAAGGTAGGATGGAGTGAGGCCGTTTATTATTTTATAAAGCAACGATAATTTATGTAGAAATCGTCTAGTTTTTAGATCTTCCCAGCATAATTCGTTTAATAATCGTACCCTGTTTGTTCCTTTCATTGCTCCAGTAACTATACGAGCCGATTCGTTCTGTATTCCCTCTAAAAGATTTGCTTCACTTTCAGTACATCCGTCCCAGATGACATCAGCATATTCCATCAGAGGTCTAACAAGACTTTTATATAATGAGATAAGGGTTGATCTATGGAGCTTATATTTTACACTTTTTAAGAGATTCGTCATCTTGCTAGGTTTTTTATGTATACTTTGAATATGATGATTCCAAGTAAAATTTGACGTAAATTTCAATCCTAGATGAATATGAGAATTAACTTCTCGTAAGGCATTGCCATCTAAATGTAATGTAGGATGTGTTTGTCCAGAAAGTTTTCTTGAAAAAGTAATACTTTCACATTTGGAAGGATTCAGCTCCATTAGCCATTGTTTACACCACTGACTAATTTTATCAAGATCCAAATTTAATTTTGAAGCAGAACTTGTTGGGTCGTCAGTTATGTCAAATAAAGATGTGTCATCAGCGTAAAGAAAACAATTAGATACAATGTCTACACCAATATCGTTAATATATATAAGAAAAAGCAATGGCCCGAGTACAGAGCCCTGTGGGACACCAGCTTCAGTGTTTAACCAACTCGAGGTCTGCCCATCGATAACAACTCTTTGTTTTCGGTCTGTTAAATAACTACGAAACCAACTTAGGAGAGGGTCTTTCAGCCCAAGAGTTTGCAATTTGTAAAGTAAACCCTTATGCCATACCTTATCAAATGCTTTAGTAAAATCAAGAAAAACCATACATACTTCTTTCCCCATATCCAAGGCTTGATAAATTATATGAACAATATAGGTGAGTTGGTTAACAGTACTATCACCAGGTCTGAATCCAGACTGAAAATCACTAAGGAAATGTATTTCTAATAAAAACTCATACAGCCTTGCAAATACAATTTTTTCTGATATTTTTGAAATAGATGGTAGAAGGGATATGGGACGGTAATTCTCTTTATATTGATGGTCATCTTTTTTGTATATAGGACTTACGTTGGCTCTTTTCCATTCAGCGGGATATTCGCCATTTTGAAAGCTTAAATTAAGTAAATTTGTAAATGAATTTTTAATGCCATTACTACTTAGTTTAAGAATCTTGTTCCAATACCGTCAGGATCACAAGCTTTTGAAATATCAACCTTCTCCAGTAACATCAGAACTTCTCGTTCTGTTGTATGAATTATTGACAATGTTTTATCAGACTGGAAATAAGTTAATAATGGCAACTGACAATTACTATCGTTAATTCTAGATTGATTAACAAAGTAGTCATTGAATAAGTCCGCTTTTTCTTTCGAGTCAAAAACAATCTCGCCGCTCTCTTTAATAGGTGGTATGGAGGTATGATTATTGTTATTATTAAGAGTGAATTTAATGTAATTCCACCACTTTTTTGGACCTAACGAAGGATCTGATAGTTTATTATTTTAGCTTCACGAATTAACCACGTTGTAAAATTTCTCTGATTTTTGTAACGGCGCCAAAGCAAGTCAGTTTTCCATTTACTAAATTGTTTTAATAATCTATTTCTTTTTCGAATTGCAGTTCGTACCGCTGATATCATCCAAGGTTTGTTTCTCGAGGTCGTATTACAACTGTTTTGTTTGGAATGTATTTATCAATTATAAGTCGAAAATACCGAAACCAATTTCCATAAACATCATCAATCTGAATAGAATCTCTAGTACAATCTTCCCAATTGATATTCAAAAGATCTTCGTTTAGCATTGTCATATTAATATTGGAGAAATCCCATATGTGTCTTTTAAAAGCTCTTTGTTTAGAATATGTAATACTCATTTTTGCATAAATGTAGGAATGATCGCAGTTCGTGGGTGGACTAAATGTTCCCTGGTTTACAAAATATTTAGGACAATTAGTGATTATGACGTCTAATATTGTAGCTGTGTTGTATGTCACACGAGTTGGGTCATCGATTATTTGGGACAGGGCATTGCACTCGAGCCAATGATAAAAACGGTTACCAAACGCGGTACTTAGTAACTTATTTCGGTCATAGTGGGCATTTAGATCACCCACAATCACCATAGGTAAATGTTGGTTTAATCGAATTTTATCAATAGCACTCTGGAAAGAATCTAAAAAAAGTGTTGTTTCTTCTAGAGAGTTATTAGGTGGTCTGTAACATACCCCACATAACAGGGTTACTCCATTCATTTTAATTTCAACCCAAAGTAGTTCTAAATCCATATTTTCCAGGTCATTACGTCTTTTGAATGCAAGTGATTGTGCTACGTATAAAGCAACACCGCCACCGCGCATACCAGACCTGTCTTTTCTAATGACAGAATAATAGCCTGGAATGTATAAAGATTCAGCAGAACTTTTATTGTCAAGCCAAGTTTCAGATACCGCGAATAGATCAAAGCTCTTGTCTAAAACAAATGAGGAAATTTCTTCAAATTTCTCTTCGTTAGCTAAACTTCTAGCGTTTATATGTCCAATTGTTAAGCATGACATTTTTGGGCCAGGATTTAATTCAATATCTCCTGCCATTATTAACAAAATTGATAAAATATTATTAACAAAATGCATAGAACCCATCTGTGTCTCGTCCGAATTTGCAACACACTGGATTTTATATTAAGACGGCATTTTCTGTTATTAAACATACCGATAGCTGCTCTGTAAACAACAATACTAACCTCCATTAGGCATAGTATAAAACTTACCAGTCTGCACAGTTGCTCGAAAACCACTTATAGTAATAATATTACACGCGAGAACCACACAAGAAGAACCTAAACAACGTTCTTCCAGAACAAAGATAAATAAAGTTAATAGAGTGTTAAAGTCAAGTAGGCCTATTATAAACATATTAAGTATAGGACTATAGGTGTGGTCATAATAACTGCTAGTTTACAAGCCAGTCCTCGTATTGAAATAACCATTTAACACAGGATTAATTAGACCAAATTAAATTTTTCAAAATCATCCATGTGATGACTTCGAATTATTTTGTCGTCTTTATTACGAACTAATATTTTACCGTCCGTCGTCCAGACAGATTTAATATGAGTATTATGTTCGCGAGCGTATTTGAACAGATTAACGTTGTACTTGGTCAGGTCTTCATTTATATAAAACTGTGTGCCTTTCAGATCTTTTCGTCGTTTACAAATTGCAGCCTTTGTAACATATGATTTGAATTTTACAATTAGCGGTCTTGACCGAGTTGAGATCTTTGGGCCAAGGCGATGTGCACGGTCAATTTCTTCTTTAACGATATTGAGATGCAACTTTTCATCTACAAACTGAACTACCTTTTGAACGCAATCTTCACCATCGGTTTCGACCAACCCTATAATTCTTAAGTTAAATTTTCTGGAGTATTGCTCATTTTCATTCGCTTTTGTTGTGACCTTTGTTAACTCTGTTTCCAGCGCTTCGATTCGCTTTATAAGAGGAAATGTAGCTTGTTGAACGGATTGCTCGATGAGTGTATTTACTGCTTCAGATTGGATCGTCTTAAAGTCAGATGATTTAACGAATTGGTGCAACTCACTTTGTATAGCTTCCTTCATGTCTGCTCGAAATTCATCGGGTTGATATGTCGTTTGTCTTGTAACTGGCATTTTGGTATTCTTCAATCATAAATATTATTAATGTGCACCTTATAGCCACAAAAGACAATTACATAGCAAAAAAATTAGCTTCTTGAAGTGTATAATCAGATGATATTGTAGGAGCTCTGCAAAACACGTCTGTACTCAACGGAGTTACTCAACCTATACGGTTGAAGTAGGATAACAATACGGTTGAAGTAGGATGCTTGGAAAGTACTTGACTTGCAGTATGGAGTTTTGAGAGTGAGCGTAGGATTTTGGCTGAGCCTTGTCCGACCATTGTTCACAAACGAAACGAAGGTACGCACATCGAGATCGATATTTCCATTAAGTGCCTTGAATTAGAAGAACTCACGATTATAACATTGCTGAATCCGACAACCATGATCTTGCTAGTATTTATTTTGTTAAAACATTCTTAATGAAGATGTACATTATCATTAAAAATGTTAATTTATTCACAGTTTACCTTTGTACTGACCACGTGCTTTCCGACGGTGATTCTATCACTTAGTATTCCAATATGTACGGTGTTACGTAACCGACAAGGTTTTTAGGTCTTTTCTGAGCAGCTTGTTTTCTGCGAGTTCTTTTTTCATTTCTTTGATATCCTTGACAGCTTCCAACGCCTCCATAAGTTCGGAAAACTTGGTGATGATGACGCCAGCCAGTTGGTTATTTGTGTTCTCCAGCTGCTGTCTTACGTAGTCTTTGTGTATGCTTTCTACTGTTTTTTCGGATGCTTTTTTGATGTATTTGGCGGTGTATTTGATTTCGCCTGCGTCAACCAGTTTTAGTAGCTCTTCAATTGCTGTTCGGTCGCTTTGGTCAGCGGTATGTACCTCGGGTGCCTCAGGTTCCGTAGATTCGAATACGTTTTCCATTCTTCTATTTAATATGCGGAATAATTATCTTGTGGGTATAAAAACGGCGTAATAGTATTTCCAACCTAGCGTAGCCGTTATTTTTTAGCGTATTCATGATCTTCTTTCTTTCCTCTTTTTCTACATTGGCTAAGTAGTCATCTAATATGATGTTTGTGTCTTTTGCGCTTGGATTGTAAAAGGTTACAAGTTTAGATATGTTTTCTCTGTAAGGTTTCGCAATGGATGTAAGTTGTTGGGTGATGACGATGGTTGAGATTCCCATGTGTCTGACGCTACACCCGAGTTTTACCAGTTCGCTGGTTCTGTTCTTAACGGATTAACTGCTTGCACAGTCATCGGGAATGATCAGACTATTTGTTCCTTCTGCGAACCAGGAGAGATGTTTTAAGCATAGATTCACGTCATCCTGTTTACAAGCCATAGCTACAAAGTCTTTTTTCCTTATTATATTTCCAGTTCTGATATGTTTTGTTCCATACGTATGTGGGACATATTAGAAATATATGATCGAAATGGTTTTTATGGTTATTCTCCAACAGTTTTAGTAAGTAATATGTTTTCCCACATCCGGTCATTCCAAGGATGATCATGTTGACCGGTGTTTTCAGAGGTTCCATCTTTTATTATATAAACAATTTATCTTTTATTCCTCTTTTTTGTCCTCGCCGTTCTCGTCCTCGTCGTCCGTTTCGTGTTCGTCGGTTCGCTAATCTTTTACTATTTAGTGTCCAATACCTTGAAGAGTTTTTTCCACTGATGTTTATGAATCCTAAGGTCCAAGCTGTACGCCTACAAAATGGCAAATGATCTAAGCGAGGAAAAGAAATGTAAGGGTATCAAAAAGGGGGTTGTCAAAAAGGAGATTGCCTTCGATGACTACAAAAAATCCTTGTTCAGCGGAGAAAAGCAGTGGAGGGGGATGAATACTTTCAGGAGTAGGCTGCACGAGATCTAGACGGAAAGAGTTGTCAAGGTGGCCCTGTCGGCGGGCAATGACAAAAGAATAATAATGGCGGACGGGGTGGGCACTGTCGCATCGGACACAAGAATTTGGGGGAGCGGAACAATCGACAGACAAAAATTCGAAACTGATCGGGTGGGGGTAGTTAACGTAAGCGCAGTTGGTAAGTTTGGAAAATGTGCGTAAACAGTTTCGGAATCGCGTGGAGGTGCACAGAGGGGGTGTTTTGGTGGTTTTACACCCTTTTGCACCGTTTTTTCACCCTTCCCTACTACTTAAATTTCCCGAAATTAGAACTTCGATTGTTGTTTTGTTCCAGTTTGATCCATAATTTACCATTTATGTATCGATTATCGAGTAATGTTTACGAATACGTAAGTTAATTATTAAGCAGCTGTTAGCGTGCGTGTAAAATGAACATTTATGTCAGCTGTCAAGGGCACGTCATATACATTGGTGATATACAATTTGTGAAATTTTCTTATTAGTTAGGACAGCAGTTTTTTTTTCGGCCATAGACTATTGCACATAGATGTTTGAGTAAATGTGTATAATTCTGATGTGTATAGCAAGCGACTTGCGTGCGTTGCGTACATACGTGCGTGCGTGTGAAATGAACATTTATCCATACAAGGATTTGTTATTTTATTATATATTTTACCACCTCAAACTCAAATTGTAGCAAATAGTTTAGAATAATTATTAGTTTGGTGTGGTATCGTATGTAGTAGTAGGGGGATCTGGGGGTATTCTCCCCCAAAAAATTGTTTGTATTTTTCCACTACTTGGACTGAAATGTGAGCATTTTCTGAAACAGATTTTTAGATATACCACAACTGGGTCACTCAGGGGGTAGGAAGCTTGTTAAACTTAGTGGGTCCGACTCCTACGAGGCGCTACCAAGGTTGGCGCCGAGCAGGAAAATTTTGAGTCTCTAGATCGTTGGAAATTGGCATTTTCAGAGTCTTTTTAACTCTTTAGCCTTATGATTTGTGAGTCTATGCTGTTTGTGATTATAGAAATCAGAACTCTAGACATGGTATTTAAGTTCAAAAACTTTTTTGAACCTCCTCCTTTCCTATAGGTTAAAACTTTTTTGACCCCCCCCCCTATTTATAAGGGTAAAACTTCCATTGCCTCTCTCTCCCATTTACCAACCCCCCTCTTCATAAATAATGACCACTCCCTTATCATGCAAATACAAAATAACAGTAACTCCGAATAACATTTTGATTTGATTAAAAATCAAAATGTTATTCGGAGTTACTGTTATTTTGTATTTTCTTAAAATACTAAGTGGTTCCTGTAATTATCATGCAACTGACAAGAGTATCTCAAAGTACCTGAATGATGATTTTTTACAAATATACTGGGATTTCTGGACCACTTTTAAACTTAGCAAGGCAAGAAATCTCCATTCAAGAATATATTTCTTCTCAAAAAGGTAAAATGCGTAGAATACTTGATTAAATTGTTTACTTTGATGGTTAGGCATGTCCCGATTGTGCTCATAAAATCCCGAAAAGTTGCTCTCTAAAACAAAAAAGTTGCTCCCTAAAAAGCATAAAAGTTGCTCAAACGTTGCCCGAAATAAAAAAGTTGCTATTAAAATTCAAAAGTTTGTACTCTTTACGTTAATTTCACGACATACGTTAATTAAAAGCTTTATACAATTTCCATAGGCCCGGACAAATTGTTTGGAATTATAAACAGAAAACGCTTTCTTTACAAAAGTTTTACAAATCACAAAACAAAGGTCATAAAAAATTAAAAAATAAGATAGAAAAATATCACAGAAAATGAAGCAACCTCGTACCCAGGGTCTTTGCTCATGAGAAGCAATAAAATTAAGTTGTCTATCACATGTAAACATTTCATACTGTAAAGTTTGAACTCTAGTGAAAAGTTGCTCAAAAATCGCTCAAAAAGGAAAAAGTTGTTTGAAGTTGCTCGAACTGAAAAAAGTTCCTCCAAACGCAAAAAGTTGCACAAAAGTTGCCGAGCACAATCGGGACAAGCCTATCGACGGTATATAAATTAACAGCGTTTGACTTGCAAGACATCAAAAACGGAAGATTTCAATCATGAGGACCCGCACGATGTGTGAAAAAATTAAGGCAAAATGTGTTCGTTCCCATGACATATACAAATACGTTTGACATATACAAATTAAATTAACTCACCCAATTATATCATACTAGTGTAATTTAATAGTCCGTTTTATTCTTGGTTTAAATATTGATAAGCTACATCCGATTTAGTAATAATTTAATAATTCGTAATGGCTTAACACATTTGTCAACGCCGTAGTTGGGAGTTCTAAATGCAAACACGTGCCAATTTCGAACAAAAACCGCTGTGTGCTCAGATCAATGTGCGAAATGTACTTAATTTCCAGTATATTCGCATTGCTTTGACTATAGCAAGAATTAACGCGTACAATGACTTGCTCTTTGGCCATCCGAAATCTGGTAGAAAGCACGAAGGACGCGCAACCTTCCGATTGTTCTCCAGCGACGTAGGAAAGGTATTAAATATCGCTGATCTTAAAGACCGCGGCAGCTAACAGCCATAATATAGATAGGATGGAGACGGCTCAGATCCTGAAGGAAACGACCTAGAGCCAAGTCCAAAGCGTGTTCGAAAGAAAAGACAAGAACAGGGGATTGTTTTTCTCTCCATGCGCGCCAAAATTACATCGCCGCGCGCGTCAACTAGCGCTCTCATTAAATCGAAGGAAATATCACCACAAGAAAGGCGAGCAATTCATCGGAAATCCCTGAATGTTGTTGCGCGTGCCTATCAGGAGAACCCCGAGGAGAACATCAACGAAATTATCGGCATCAGAAGGCGGTCGCCGCCTCGCCGGGTATATAATATTCTGATGTTGTGATTGGGGCAACCGATGTGATATTTTCAATACTCGAGGCATTAGACACGAATCGTTCGGAACAAAGCCAGTCAATTCTGGCTTAAATCTATTAAAATTCCAGATTGGGCCATGCTTCTTCTGAAAGTCAGAATAAAAATTTCAGACGTAGGATGGCAGACACTACTTAGTTACATAACTTGGACGCACTGGGGTATGTTGATATTTTTTTTCTGTGCTGGTGTTGTGTACTCAGGTGAATATGATATGTTTGTGATGTTACTCTGAGTGTATATCCACACCGGGCGAGCTTCAAAAATTTGCCCGGCCACGGTGGGAATCGAACCTACGACCTTTGGAATACTAGCCCAATGCTCTGCCAACTTTGATATGGCTCTTTCATCTTTAATAAACATACATAGTCGTCTGGTCAAGTACATTTCCAAAATAGACAAAAATGTGTACAAAAAACTCCCATGCATGGCCAATGATTTACGGATAATATTAAGCGCAAGTATGAATATAAGTGTAACTGCATGATAATTGTTTTACTGCATGGTAATATTTTACCTACGGTGTGATAGATTTGCATACTGACGCATATATTTAAACGTGTTTATTAGACAGTTTATACACTATTGTTATTTGTTTGACTCACTCCGTGCTTTGATTACTGACCATCGGAGCCCAAAGGTTATGAATGTAACAATTTACTTTATTACATGTGATAATTCTTACAATCGTACTTTTAAAAGCTGTTTACCCTGCCTGTGAGCATCACAACAGAAGTTGCAGGTTCAACCATACAAACCATACCTCAAGACTCTACACTACACACTTTCAATAATTACGTCACAAATTTCTCCTTGGCCCGGGAGCCTCGTTTTCCTGAATCGTGAGCGAATTGTGTTTCTTCTTGATTCATGAAGCGAGGCTCCCAGACAAAGGAAATACTTGTGACGTAATTATCGAAAAGGTGTATTGAATTGAATGTCAATGTTATATAAAACATTAATCGTTTGTAACACCACATACACCCTAGGAGGAATCGCATTCTAGAACGGAGTTCACTACATGGAGATACAAATATCATGGCAGGTGGTATGATTATGATGGCATTTCTCTTGTGGAAATCATTGATGTTTCTGCACCTTCACGGGCACGGGT